TGATTGTACTCACCCCATGGAAGAGAAATTTGATATTGTTTTCTACATGCAGAAGGCAGGAAACTGTATGGCAGGTCTTACACAGTTACACTGTTCCAACATGTTCATCTTGTTTGTTTTCCTTACTTTTCCACTTTTTATCTTATTTGCATATAAGGAATTATCCTGGAATAATGAGTGCAGAAATCTTTTCAGTTAAGTCTGCGCATTAAACTTCAAACAATCCAGTTTTCTACTGTTCATGCAACATACAAATTTATTTTACTCAGAAACTTAAATTAGTAGCTATAGTAATTTGGTAGGTGTAAAATCACTATGTATCTTTTGCAACAAAAATAAATGCCCTTAGACCTTGTTTACAGCACTATAAACAGTTCTGAATTAGTTTTAGGTTCTATACATAAAGTCTTATTGTAAGTCATGTGCAACAGACAACACGAATGACAGCATAATCCAAAACACAGCTGTCTAAGAGACGTACCATAAGTCTAGAGTGAAAGATAAGGGCTACTACCTGTCCCTAAATTGCTTTGGCTTAGCTTCAGAATAAAAGGGAAATTAATTTGTAAAGTAGGCCCTTTTGATGGCTGAAATAATTCAAATTTACTGCACATTAATTTCACCTACATAAATACCTACTTAACATGCAGTACCCCAAACTTTGAAACCTCTTAAGAGTCCCTATGAACTCAATTGAAGAGAGTAAATGACCCAAGCCACATCAGTTTCTTAATCCTCTCTTGTCCAACCTTGCACTGTTATCAGTACATGAGGCTTCTCTAGACAGTCATTTTTTGTCAACGAGTATCCTGATCAGTAGGCTCTTTGCTGCAGTGAGTGAGAAGGTGAATGTATTTTATCTCCAGCTAGGGTGGCCATCATAGAGGACAGTTTGGTTGTCCCCTGTTCTCTACTGATATGAAACCCAACACCTTTATGTCCTCTATTTTTCTCTCGAAGAAAATTTTTTCTCTTCTCTTGACGAGGAGAATAGAGGACATAAAGGCATCGGGTTTTGCATCAATAGAGGACAGTGGATAGAGTAGCAGAAAACCAGAACGTCCTCTATGATGGTCACCCTATCTCCAACAAGTGTCTCTCAGATTGTAAAAAATCAGGTTCCTTATGTTTCCTGGTATTACAAAATCCACATTAGGAAGCACTCCTAGATGTACTGAACTTAGTACAGGTGTAATCTGCATCAGTACTCAATAGGGAAAAGGAAGAGTCAAGCAAGCACATATTCCTATTTCCAAAAGGTTAACTTCCAGATCCTTTCTCATGTGCTCTGAATTCAAGGCCCACTGCCTGTGAGAGTAACATATTAATTCTATAAAAAAGGAGGGCAAGGAGGCAGAGCTTTGTGCTTAAACACCCTTTCCTAAAATGTATTCCAGGCAATAAGCCTGACAAAGTGTCTTTTACTCTAGAAGAGTCTGGTAAGCACTATATGTAACAATAATGAAAAGGACAATTAAGAGCCCATGTCCTATAGTACTTGATCAATTACTATCTGCAAACCAAACATGTTATGTTAGACAAAGAGAAGAATGCAGAATATGTCTGTTCCCTCTTTCCTTCACTGTTCTACCTCCAAATCTATTGAATAAACTTTTCAAAAAATAAAAACAAGTAAATAATTGGTACTATCAAGGAGAGATGAACAAAATGATTTAAAAGGCTCTTCCACTTTTCACTAAAACTATGCTACTGTCTGTAATATACCAGTTCATCAATTTGATGCATCACTTCTGGATTTTCCAAAAAGAGGTAAATGGATGACTCAGAAACAAGAAATGACTTGAATCTTTGGGGGG